GGGCATCCTCTGCACACGGCCATTAACAACCAGAAGAGTCTGTTCAGTGACAGGTTGCTTCTCCCCAAGACAAGAACTAACAGACTTAAAAACTCCTTTGTCCCACACGCCATCAAACTGTTTAACTCCTCTCTGGAGGGGAGAGGGAGGGGAAACAGGGACAAAGAAGGGGGGAACAACTAAGACGTAGTGCCTCTTCACCTCACTGTACAATACCTTGTGCAATACTTTTTGTAAATAGTCAATGATGCAATAGACCTCAATACTTGAAATGTGCAATTCACTTGTATTTTTATTTTTATTCCTATTTATTCTATTTATCCCCTTCGTATATTTTATTTATATATGTCTCTGTATTTATATATGTGTGTGTATGTGTGTGTGTGTATATATATATATAATATTCTGTAACTGTAACTTCTGCCGGTGCTGTGCCTTTTGGAAATCGAATTTCCCAGAGGAACCCACCTGAGGGATTAATAAAGTTTTATCTTATCTTATCTTATCTTATCTTATCTTATATAGATATAGATATACATATACATGTACACATTTAAACTAACATGCATGTTATGGCGTGCCTGTCATCAGAGGGCGCTGTTGTGTGTAAAATAGCATTGACCGTGTACAGGTGAATTTTACTGTTTCTGACCTTTACTCCTAAGCTAATTGTTAAATGTGAATAAAAGTGGTCCTAGAATAAAACCCTGTGGCACACCTTTGTTAACACCACCAGATATCATCCATAAGCCACACTTTGTTTTCAACAACTGAGAAAACCAGTTCTCAGCTTGACTTTTCATCCAATCGAAAGAACCTGATGATTGACAACATTTAATATAAAATATATGTGCTTTGATATAATTAACACTGTTTAAATTGTGGCTTTCAGAGAATGGATACTCTGAAGCAGAGCCATTCAAAATAAACACTATTATTTCACATCACCAGTAAACTGATGACAGAAAATGACAGAGAGGGAGGAGGAGAAGCAACAAATGTTCCCAGCCAGACCGGAGATGAGTCACAGTGACACTCCCGGAACTTTCAACTATATCAACATCACATATTGTACATGGTCGTCCTAAATGAATTTAGCATCCCAAGTTTTCATGAAAATGGAGATGTTCAATACTGTTTTATCATTTTAAGTAATTCCGATCATGCTGGTTTAAAAGGTGAGAGAATAAAATTAAAGTTTGAAATTAAAGTTTTGGTGAGATTTATTCTGTGAGCTCCGGCTCTTAAATTGAAGAACAAACTCAGATGTTTTAAACTGACCACTCAATCACTTACTACCCACTGTAAATTATTCACTACACAGTGAACTAATCAGTGAACAGATGCAGACAGCTGTTGATACATGCATGTGTCACTGCCACAGAATTATACCCCTAATTATCTCTGCCTCTAAAACAAAGGAAGAACACTGACACTTTAGTGTTACTATGCTCTGTAATTGAAAAAAATCTCACTACAGCATTTAAATATACATTTGTAACACATATCATATGTGATTTTCAGACCTACTGTCTGAAGTTTAACTCAATTTTAAAGCCCTCCAAAAAAAGGCGTCAGAAATTCACAGAGTGTGAAGGTGGGGCCAGGCTTGTTGTATGGAGGGAAAAAGAGGTTTAAGTCATAGAAAAAAAGCTGTAGGAATGAGTGTGACTGGGTGAAAGCATCTTTAGTACATGGTTGAATGTAGTAAAGGTTCTTTAAGTGCTCAGTAATAAGCATGTTATAATTTTATGCCCAAAAGGCTGCTAGTGTTCACTGTCATCAAACAAGCACAAGGCTTTTTATTACAATGGACCAACTCTGCATGCACCCTTCATCTGTACCTCAAAGAAGCATAAAAGGAGTGACACACTAGTGGTGTCTGGTCTGCAACAGAGTATTATTAGATCCACCTTTTGGGCTTTTCTAAAATACACTGCAGTGCATCTGGTGAAGTCTGAAGTAAGAAATACAAGTTGGTTCAGCGAGCGTGAATCTGAGCCTCGAGCCCGGAGGATGTATGGGGTTGGAGCAAAAATGACAGCCAGAATCTCTCACCTGGTATTCAATCTCACTGGGCGTGGCCTGTTCTCCCCTGGCGACCGGCTCGGGTGTCACGGCGACCGTCGGAGAGGCAGGGTCTGTGTGTTGTTGTGAAGGGGGAGGGGCAGGGCTGGCGGGCTCCTCCTCTTTCTGAAAGTCAGCTTCTGAGAGGTCATCCATCATGTTTATCTCTGCCTCTCGGTAGGCCCGTCGCTCTGCCTGCGAGAGAGGAAGGATACTTTTATTCCATCAACGTTGTTTGATGCACAGGTGTTGAGTTCACAGGATGACACAGGGGAAAAGTCCTTCCCACAAGAATTAAACACAAATGCCTTTAACGCTTTAATAAAAACACAAAAGAAGCATGTTCCCAAAATATCAATTATGAGATAATAAAAACACAGATTTCTCCTCTGGTAGATGCGAGTACATGCTGGCAGGTTGATAAACATGATTGAAACAAGAGAAGGTGGTCAGATAATATGTTTTTTTCTCCAACTGTTGCAAAAACAAGCAATTTATTTTAGTTTTGAAATGCTAATTTTCTAGATACTCTTCAGAAAAGTTGCCTAGTCACTTATATGCATGGTTCCTAAACATCACGAAAAGATGAATATATGAGGGTTTTTTTATAATTGTGTGGAAAGTTTTAAACATTAACAAACCAGCCTGATATCAGTCAGAGGGAACTGAACTGACTTGTCCCACTCTGACTCACACGGAGGAGAACAGTAGATTAAATCATATCTATACTTGTCTTGAAAATCTGAGGTTAATTAACATTTGGAAGTGATACAGACTGACTGAAGGCTTTAGTGTGTTATATTCCAGTACACGTCAAACTGTGGAGCCTGCTTTTGACTTTTCTACTAAAAACTAATGCAGAAACTGGTGCGCTAAAAGTCATTAAAGTCTCTGATGCTCAAAATTTCCTGGCTAGAAGATCCGGTCTGGTGTTAAAAGTGTCACCTCATATTCAAACTAAATCTATGCCCAAAATCTTTTAATTTTCTACCTCACCAAGGCTCTTTGTCAAAGGATGGTTTGGCAAAGCTATGAGGTAATGTCAGCATTATCTTACAAGAATGAAAATGTATAAAATGTTGTATTTGAAGTAATTGGAAGTTTTAATCAAGTTAAAAACATTAGAAATTAACAAGTGGACACATTGACAACAAATTGTTTTTCAGCTCAAGTTAATATTTATTAGGCCCTGGAAAAATAACTGTAAAAATGTTCCAATTTTTGACCTTATGTGAGTGTAAGAACAAATTAAAATTCCTATTACTAATTTCTGCTCCATGTCAAAATTTCCAACACCAGACTCACGATTTATGTCCGACTTTTTATCAGATTTTCCTTTGGGCAAACCTCCCACATGTACGCATATCCTCCTCCACCAGTACTGATATCATTAGATAATAGATTACTCATTCAAATGTTTCATCAAATAAGACTTCACGTTTACAATAGGTTGTGTGGGTTTGCCATTTTGCTCTTGCTATTTTACTGCGAGTAGAAATATGAGAAGAATGAGAAAAAAATGCAAACAAAAGGTCCCTGGCTCAATGGTTTCTTTGGCAAGTGAACAAGCAAAAAATGTACTACTGAATACTGAAGCAGCATTTAAACAAATGTTTTACTATTTCAACTTTCTACCACAAATCAAGAAGTCAGCAGATCTCAGAGCCGTGCCAAATCAGCCAGGGGCTCAGCAAATGTCCCTCCACATACTGGTGTGGTAAATTTAACTTTTTAAGTTGCTTTAACCTGCCTACAATTTTCGCACAGCTGCAAGCCACATTGGAACCCACCTGGGTCTCACAAGAGGGCCATAAATTAGGCAGGTGGAAGCATCAGTCTTCTTTTTTACTCTATTTGTCCAGAGTGAAAAATGAATATGAATGATGTGAATAATGTCAGGTTATTTGAAATTTTAAACATTGTAAAAGTAGGTAAATAATAAACACACATAAATAGATATAGACCTACGTAGCTTTGAGTTCTGATATAGTGAATAAAGAGATTCCAATCAAGATAACAATAGATAACTAATATGAGCTAAACTCAAAATATTATTTAATTATTGTACACATACAATTCAGAATAAAAGAAATGACTGACTATTATTACCTGTATTTATTTTTTACGATTTTTTTTTAAAATTTGGACAACAACAACAGTGTTGCTCTGATTGTCATCATCCCAGGGTTGGGATTTTCATTGACTATATTTAAGTTTGTATTTTATGGTTCTTGTATTTGCTTGTTGTCCACCTTTTCCTCTGTCTCTGTCTTCATGTTTAGCATGTGTCATTTGGTCATGTCATGTTTTACTGTGAAGGCTAGTCTTCTGCAGTGTCTTACTCTAACTTTTCTTCCTGCTTTTCTCTCGCCTTTGTCAATTACATCCAGCAGTGTCAGGATTCAGTTCCCTATCAGTCCTCAGTGTGTATATATAGTGCTTACTCTGTTCTGTCTTCTGTCATGTTGTCTGCTTAGAGTATATGAAACTATCAGTTTACTTCCTCCTTGTGTCCTGGTGCCCTTTTCCTCGTATCCTGTGTTCATTCAGTTTGGTTAACTGTTGATTGGTGAGGGCTTTTTTTTTGTTCCTATTCAACTCTCCACACAGCTACACTGTGACATGAATAGCACAGGTTTAAGAATTTAAACAATAACACCCAAACTCAAAAGAAAAAAGTGACTCTAGAAACTTTTGAAGATAGTTAAAAAGATGACAGCTGACTGGCAACTTCATCAGCTATTATGTACGTTAAAATCTTCCCTGCATATTACTGTCATTGATCATGTCTGGCATGCCCGCGCCTGTCGAGGACATCGTCTCCTCCTCATGTGTGTTTCCCCATCTATGATAAACTTTGTTTTATTTCTGCTGGTCCGTAGCCAAACACTGTCCTTCGAGGAGGTCTCATAACTGATGCTTTTTGTGGTTCTTTCTAGCTAAAGTGGCGGCTGCTCTAGATCAGGGCCCTGCTGCCTCGAGCTGCAGGAACAATCCTTTAATTGTTCCTCTAAACAGGAAGTGAGTGGGGAAAGAGGGTGCGGTGGGGAGGGAGTTCAGTGGGTTCAACTTAGGAAGCAGAGAGAGAAAGAGAGGAAAAGAAAACAAAGAGCGAGAGAGTAAATAGGATTATATCATAAAACTGGAGAATACAGCACAGACAGAATGCGCAGCTCTTTGAGTGGAAGTCAGGAAGACACAGAGCTCAGATTTTCAACTTAGAGTTGACTTCATTGTACAGCAGTTGTGACCAATTACAACATCATACTATAAAAATACACGATTAAAATTACAAGTCTTGTATTCATACTTTCCCTAAAGTACAAAAGTACACCAACCCCCCCAAATGTGAATGAGTTTCATTATTAGTTTAATAGAGAGTGGGTTAAGGAGTTTGAGCTGTACTTTAATATTTTAGAAGTCAATGATCAGCTTTGTGTATAAAATCCTTGGAAAAAACAAACATTTGAATTCACTCAGACTGGCCTCTAGGCCCCGATCAATGCCTGTGGTTGCAAAAAGACTTGAGGTCTATGTCAAATCAGCCCTCAGCTCCCTTTATTTATGACCTTAATAAAACCTTTCCTGATGACTTTATGGTCTCAGTCACTAGTTTCCTGTGTTACTGAATAAAACCTGATTTTAATTTTGTAAACAGCACCCATTAGAGTTTAAAAGAAAGATAAATCAGGGTCTGGTTTACCCTTTGATTGACAATTTGCTACTGTATGAGAGTGGAGCGTTGCTCGATTTCTAGTTCAATCCATCCCTTCCTTTTTCAAAGCATTTTGTGGTGGCTGACATACTCATCTCTGGACTTAACAGGAAAAGTTTGACGTCACAGTGGCTACAATCATCTTTATAATTTCTAAACACTCCACGCTTAGACTGGACTAGCTTTGCATCATCAAGTTCTTTATTCATCGTCTACTGGGCCTTGATGTTGCCCGTCATGTCATCCTCCAATGCAAGATGTTTTTATCTCCACTCCCCTTAGAGATTAAAGGGTTAGATATTAGAAAATGGAGACCCCAGAGGACAAACATGTGAAATAAAAGGAAAGAGATGGAAAGAGATACAGCAAGGAGACACTTTAAAGTGGACATAGCTACATATTTTTATTCTTGTACTCCACTTAAGTAGCTTTGCATGATTCATAAAACAACGTAATCCAGTTTTATTTTTCCAACTGAACCTTAAGGAAGCCCCTCAGTTCATTATTGTCTATTTCTGATGTCATATATAGCCAAGAACTAAAAAAAAAAAAGTACAAACTCAATGTTTATAGCAGTCTGATGCCTGAACTTTTGGATTACATGAACAGATACTGACATTGTTATTTAAAAGTTTGAACAGGAGCACACTGGCCTCCAAATTTTAGTGAAAAGTAAGAATAAGTAAATATCAGAAGGGCACTTAGAAAGCGCAGACCTCCACCAAGGCCATTTTTAAATAAAGTAATCCAGGTCGGCACCAAAATAGTAAAGGTTCTTTTTTTTATACCTCTCCTCAAATTTCATGGAAACTGGTAATTTTGCACATTTCATAACATTACAACCTAAAACTCATAATTGTACATAAGGATGGGATTTGAGTAAGCATAGTGCCCACCTGTGATTATCAGTAATAGCTACCTGCAGAAAATCAAACTTCGGTGCTGAAAGATGACACAGTAATGTGGCCCTGAGTTGAGCTCTCAGCTTAAAAAAAACAAAAAAACAAAAAAAACTAACCATGTGCTCACTCCTACAGGTGAGGTCCTATTGACCTAAAATCTTTCTAACACTAAAGAGAACCATTTGTTTGTTACTGGAGCTGATGTAGAAACCTGCTGCATTCTGCTAAATAGAAAAAAGAAAAGGAGAAAAATGGTGAGGGCTACTGATGGCATAAATTCACGTGGAGGAGACAGTTTGTGACGGTGTTCTCCCGAGTATGACCCCGAGGTGAGAAGGTCACTTTTTCTCACTCCTGTTGGCCTCTGACCTCATAAAATCCTAATCAGCCTGTTACATGGATCATAGACAAACCACACACACACTCGCTCACTCACATACACAAAGAAAGTGAGGAAATCTCCATATGTCTTCACTGGTCCCTAAAACATCTGGGAGACTTAAATAAAAAAAACTGTTTTTTTCCTTCCTGCAGCTAAATGGCAGCTATTTTTATTTTTTTATTAGTGCAAATGTTTT